GTGTGTGTGTGTGTGTGTGTGTCAGGAGGAAAAGGAGAACTCAAGAGAGTCCCCCACATGCTATGCAAGCCAAACCAGGGGCCATGTCCCTCAAATCCAGCCGCTGGGGAGTACAACATCCTTCCTGCCGCTCCTGCGAGAGGTCTCCTGCAGGTTTTTTTGGGGGGGGAAGTTGGGGGGGTTAGCGTATGGGATGGGCTACAGCATCACAAGGAAGAAGAGGTGAGGATGGATGGTGCAAGTTCGCATCGGCCGTGGACGTGTGGCTGACGAGTCCCCCTCGCCGAGGACCCCCGTTTTTCTTGCACACGGACCCTCTTCGTCTTCACGGTCTCCTCTCGCGCCGGAGGAGCGCTGAGTGCCCAGGGGTGTGTATGTGTGTGGTTGTGTGGAGGCGAGGAGGTCAGGACATCTGGTGGGGGGCCTCCAGCATCTCCATGAGGAAGGTGTCGATGGGGGTGTCGCCGATCAGCTTGAAGAAAAAGAGGTGCTCCAGGCACTTCAGGCCGATGGACCGGAGGGCGGGAAGACGCAACAACAGCTTGGCAAACCTGGAGGGGAGGGAAAGGGAAGGGCACCCAGTCACATCTTCGGGGTGCTGGGGAGGGGCCTGGAGCCCAGCCTGACCCACATAGAAGAGGTCTGTGAGGCGGGAGGTGCCCCAAAGCAAAAGGAGGAACAGAACAGCACAATACCTCTCGGGGTTGACGGTCAAGAGGGAATGTGGCTTCCCTACAAGCATTAGCAAACAGGGCAATCAATTTGCTTGCAAATGGACTGTCTTTTCGCCAAGTATTGTTGTAAGCTCTGGGTATGACTACTGGTCAGAATGGGCCTTGGGTTTACCCTGTTTTCTTTTTTCAAGCGCTGCTTATATGCTGCCCCCATAGCATGAAAGCACTCTCTGGGTGTATTCGCGAAGGCGTTCACGGCCGGGATCTAATGGTCGTTGTGGGTTTTTCGGGCTCTTTGGCCGTGTTCTGAAGGTTGTTCTTCCTAACGTTTCGCCAATCTCGGCAAACTGGAACTGTGAAGCTCAGTTTCTCAGCACTGACCTCAACCATCTGAATTCGGCCCTACAGGCAAATGGCTACTCCAAAAATGAAATCACAAGAGCCATCAAACCAAGAAAACAACACCAAACTGAAGAAGAAAAACAGCCACCTACAAATAAAAGATTTCTGCCATACATCAAAGGGGTCACGGAGCATGAGGAAACTTTTGAAAAACACAACCTACAAACAGTATTCAAGCCAACCACAAAAATACAACAAATGTTATGGTCAGCAAAGGACAGAAGGGATCCCCTCACCACTGCAGGAGTATATCGGATACCTTGCAGTTGTGGTCAGGTATATATTGGAGCCACAAAATGAAGCATCCACACCAGAATCAAATAACATGAGAAACATTGCAGACTAAAACAACCAGAAAAATCAGCAGAAGCTGAACATGCCCTAAAACAAGCTGGACATGAAATTCTACTTCAAAATACTGAAATACTGGACAACACCAGCAATAATTACGTTAGACTGCACAGGGAAGCCATTGAAATTCACAAACATCAGCAGAACTTCAACATAAAAAGAAGAAAGTTTGAAACTCAACAAAATTTGGCTCCCAGCACTGAAAAAGACAGCGTGCAAAAGGTCAAGGAATTCTACCCAGCCGCAAGGACCGGTGATCACTACACACAAAAGACCAGCTAACTACACCCATCAATCACAGTGACAGATAATCTCTCCTCCTTATCACAATACATCCACAACAAAAACACACTGATCACCATAATCACCCATCTCTCGAAAAGAACAGAAGCTGCTCTCACAGCCATAAATGGATCACCATAATCACCCATCTCTCGAAAAGGACAGAAGTTGATCTCACAGCCATAAATACAGTGGTGCCTTGCGGGAGGATTAATACACAAGACAATTGGTTTTTGCGATCGCTGTTGCGCTTCGCAAGACGATATTTTCTTAGGATGATTTTCGCAAAACGATTATTTTTCCCCATTGGAACGCATTAAATAGATTTCAATGCATTCCAATGGGGAACCACGTTCCGCAAGACAATGTTTTCTATGGACAATTTTCGCCAGACGACGATTTTTCCATTGGAACACATTAAACAGATTCCAATGCATTCCACTGGGGAACCGCATCATCTTTTGCAAGACGATGTTTTCACAAGACAGGGTTTTTCGCGGAATGAATTAACATTGTCTTGCGAGGCACCACTGTACGCAACTCCCAAACTGAACCGCGAGGCACCACTGTACGCAACTCCCAAACAAACTGAACCAAAGCACAGAGTGCTGCTCCAGTCCTCTGAAGATGCCAGCCACAGAGACTGGCAAAACATTAGGAAGAACAACTTTCAAAACACGGCCAAAGAGCCCGAAAAACCCACAACCACCACTTTCTGGGTGGTTTACAATTGAATTAGGCCTGGTATATATATCGTGCACATACGCGCGTGCACACCGTGAGCTGCATACTTCATTTACCAACCTTGGAGAAAAAAAGGAAGGACCGTTGAGACAACTTCGAGACAACCACCTGAGCCCATCGGGACTGAATTCAGGCCGCGAGCAGAGGCTTCACTGCAGTCCTGCCACTCAACCACTGTGCCCACGAGGCTTTTTGAAGCCTCTCTATCCTGCCCTACATCAATCAAAAGGCCTCTTTGGGGCAGACGTTCCTCTACGCTCCATCATTCCTTACGGGAGGCTCTCCTGGTGGCGACTGGCAGGAACTGAGCCCCAACCGCGTTGAGTGAATAATAGGTTCCCCACCCCGATCCCCCCCAGGCAGTTTTTAGGTGAGGGGTATTACACAGGAGAGCCCAGCATCCCCCCAACCCTTCCTTGCGCGCCTACCTGCCCTGTTGCTCGGGGTACTTCTGTTTGCAGTAGGACTCCAAGGAGGCGTACACCTTCTCGCGTAACAGCTCCACCTCGGCCGGGTTCGAGAGCCCCTTTGCATCTGGGGGGAGGGGGGAGGGGGGAGCGTAAGCACCGTCCAGAGCAGAGGAAGCCAAAGAAACAGGAGGAACACATTTCGGGGGGGTGGGGGGGTGAGGGCCAAGCCGAAGGAAGCTCTGCCAGCAGCCCCTTGCGTCCCCTGAGTGCGCACAGGGGCCCAGCCATCTGTCCCCTCATTCCGCCCCCCGAACCTCCCGTAATAGAGAAAAGTATGTCAAGGGCTAGGCTGCGGCCCCTCACCAGGATTGAAGAGGATGATGGCTCGGAGGCAGCCCAGCTCCGTCTTGTCCATCCGCATGTCACGCATCTTTGACACCAATTCTGCCGTCACCCTGCCGAGAAAGGGAGGGAGGGAGGAAAGCTGCCCATCTTGGAGGCAAAAAAAAAATGGATGGCGCTGGAGCGTCGGGCGGAGTGGAGGCTGGGCGAAACCCGGACCTACCCACCCCTGTCAAAGTATCTGGCTCTCCTCTGCCGGGAACAGGATGCCGGCCTGGGCACTTGTCCTGTACCGACCCCAGTTGGGAGGGATGGTATTTGGCAGGTTGGATAGCTCTGTGGGTTGGAGCCCCAGGTCATGGAGCCAGGGGTCAAGAGCTTGATTCCTCCCCCTGGGTCTCCTGCAGAGCACCGCCTCAGAAGAAGGGAAGGGGAAACCACGGCTGAGGGGCCTCCACCGAGAAAGCCCCGGTGCCTGCCGTGCTGGTAGACCTCATGGAGGAGCTGCTCCAGGAGGCAAGAGCCATGTCCTTCCCCGATCCACATCCCATGCTCCAAGGAAGAAATCCCACATCCCCCAGCCCTTCAGCTGCTTCAGGATCCCCAACGCCCACAGGCCCACAACCCCCAGGCCCCCAGACGGAAGCACCTGTCAAAGATGGCTCCCACGCCGGCGCTGTGGGCGCTGTTGCGATGGACGTGGAGCCCCGTGGCCAGCAGGATCCCATCCTTCACCGAAATGGAGCGGTGGGAGAAGGAGGCAATCAGCAGCTCATTCCAACCTGCCAGGGAGGTAGGGAGGGCAGGCCGGATGTTAACGGGGGGCGGCAGCGGAGGGAGGCAGGCTGGAGGCCGCTGGGCGTTTCATCATCTCCCAAGGGGAAGAGCTGTGCCCGCTTCATCCAAACTTGCCCCCTCCCACTGGCAAACAGGGTGTGAAAGGGGCCCTCCCAACAGTGCCCCCCTTAGTTGTCTGTCCCCCTGCCTGGGCCAGGGGCAGGGGGGGAGGCCAGGCCCCAACGGCAGCAGGGACCCAATCTCCATGTGCCTGACTGCTTCCCCCCCCCAAAATGGTTGCGCTCCCTGTTCCGAAGGGGCCTCCTCCTCGCTCACCGGCCCGCAGCAAGATGACCTGGTCGTCGAGGGGCAGTTCAGAGAAGTGGGGGATCCGTTTCGCCCACTCCACCAGCGTGAAGAGCTGCTTGTCGGCCGCCTGGCAGATGTTGGTCACGGGGTCGTTGGGCTGCAGGAGACGGGGAAGACAGAGGGACCCCGGGCGCGGGGGGAGTGGCAGGCTTGCTTTGGGAGGGAGACCTCGCCAAGCCAAGCCACCGCCCCCTCCCGCGCTTCTTCCAGGGCTTCCTGCCAAACGCCCCCTCCCCTCCACCATAGGGCAGACCGAGCTGCCAGTTTTCCCAGCCACGTTTTCATCCCCGGGTTGGAGGGGAGCGTCCAGCTCATAATTCCAACCCCACTCAAGGGACCCACAAGGAGCCCTGCGCCGCCACCCCTGCCTGCCCCACCCTCTCCGGGGTAGGAGGACTGGTTTCTAAACCCCTGCCGGTATTTACCTCATTGGCGTCACACGTCCGGGGCGAGCGCTCTGATCCCGCAGCACCACCACCCCAACTCACCGAACTGCCCCCCGCGCCAGATCCGTCGATGCCCTGGTCGGATTTCTGCTCCACGGCCAGCTCGGCTTCCAGGATCTTCTCCACGGGCATGTCCTCGTTGGCGCCGGCCCCGGCCAGGTCCCCTTCCCCTTCTTTGTCTTTGCCCCGCTGGCGCTCCTCTTGCACAGCTAGTGGTGGGCATAGGCAGCGGAGGGTGGGGGGGTGGCGGCAATGGGAGGAGAAGAAGCAGGAGAGACACGGGTGAGGGAGGCCACCGGGGGGGGGGAGAGAAGC